TTAAATTGTTTTCTTACTTCCTCATCAATCAATATATGTCCATCGTGTCTGATTGACTGTGACAAGCTAGCTACATCCTCTTTATTTTTGTTGTTCCAAAATAGATTAAAATTGTTGTATTTACATAAACATAAGCATTTATTTAGAAGCTAACTTATATAGTTCATTTAGTTATAATTTGGCTTTCTTGAATTATTGCATTAATTATTCGGTTTTAATACACCAGTATTAATCCATTTAAAAACCATATATTTAACAAATGCAAAAGAAAAAAATTAAATCATTTGCAGAGTATAATGGTTAAACGTGAGCAGTGAATATTTTTAAATATAAAAGGATAATTGTTTTAAATTTTCCAAAAAACTTAATTATAATTATTATACCTTCCAAAATATTAACAAAATGATAATTTAAAACATAAATGGATGATTGTTGTAAGTTGTAACTAGTCTTCCAAAATAGTAACAAAATGATAATTTTAAACATAAATGGATGATTGTTGTAAGTTGTAACTAGTCTTCCAAAATATTAACAAAATGAGACTTTTAAACATAAATGGATGATTGTTACAACTAGTCTTTGGGCATCGGCCTAAAAATCCATAATGGGCCCGTGTAACCAATCCAACACACTACCGCTTACTACATCTACGGTCCAACATAAACCATTTTAATACGAAAAAATGAATTCTAATTTCAACAAAGTTTCTAAATAATTCAAAAAATCTCAATTATGTTTTGTGTCTTCAAAAAAAACCAATGAACTTAATTTTTTATCTAAAAAGGCCCAATGAAGTTTTCAAACTGTTCAAAAACCTTCAATCATGTTTTGTCTGTTTAAAATGTTAAGTTCATTTTATTTTAAACAGATAAAACATGATTCGGGTTTTTTTTAACGGTTTGGAAACTTTGTTGATTTTAAAAGTTATTTTTCTGATATATTAATAAATCACATCATCTGTTTCTCTTCTTTGATTTCCATAGATTGAACAAAAATATAACTTAATTATGCTTTTTAGACAAAATGTTAACTTCGTTGGGTTTTCTTGAAAAAACAAAATATAATTTAAGTTTTTTGAATGGTTTAGAAACTTCGTTAGGCGCGTAAGTCATTTCCCGTTTAATATTAGTAATATGGCATGTTTGCCTACATATCCACTCTTGTAAATAACCATTTTACCGTTAATATTGTCTACGCTGTGAAAGTTAGGAGTAACCATTTACACACTCTCTTAACCTTACATCTCAATCTTAACTTGCCAAACATCAAATATAAATAATTCTTCACACAAATAGCTAACTCAAGGACTTAGCGGGTGTTTGGATAGAAAGAAAACAAAAAGGATGTTTATTGCTTATTCACAATACAATAAACTAAGTTTAACTATTTAGATAAAATCCTTAAAAATCAGCTTATTGTGTTAGAAATAAACTAAATAAGCTAATTTTAATAAGCATCTCCCCGCTTGTTTATTGTTTATTGGTTATTTTCACCACAAATAAGCTAATAAGCTAATTCAAACACCCCCTAAGTAAATCTGACATTGGTTTAGCTAATCATAAGATTAACTTTTATCCCTTAATAACTCCATCTGATACATTTTCTCCTAATAGTTTATGCCAATCTCTATATGTTTCTTTCTTTTCTTTTTGCAGACTTAGATTTGGATCCATCTATTTTGGAGAATTGTTATCGTAACCTATCTATCCCACATGTGTACTTAAATGACAAAGTCATCAAACACCTAGAAACTTTGCACATGCTAGTTGATCTTTTCTAGTATCACTAAGACTCACTCGTATGTCTAATCAAAGCTCCACTAACCATGGTTTCATGCACACCATATAATCACAATATTAACTTAATTGTAAAATAAAGGCCCGACGCATAGATTTTCTTTGTTTGGTTTTCTGACCCAAATTATATAATGAGAATAATTATGTTATTATTGTGTGTGGAAAGTGAAAGTTGTGGCCGATTATTATAGATTTCAAGTAAATACAACATTGATTTTTTTCTATGATTTCGTTTGATGATCCATTCATGATTGATATCATTAATTTTATTATAACGGATGATTTGGGATCTTTTACGCCATATCTTACAAAGAGACGTAGCATACTTGAAAGCCAATGGTTTATTAGAAAAGGAAATAATAATTACTACATGAAATCATAACATATTTTCTTAAAGAAAATCATGATTCATGAAAAATGTGGTCGTACCTCTATATCCTTTCTTTTTGATGTGCCAAACGACACCGTATAGCGGGAAAAAAAAATATAACAAAACGTTGACCACCTATTTGCTTTTACTGTTTACAGAAAAATAAAGCACTCCAAAGAAACAACCGGGTTGTCCAGCGACTCACTTGTCTCCAGCTCCGATGGAACACCGACCATCACCACCGTCACATTTCTTTCAATGTCATCGGATTTCACTCTTATCTGATCACCGGAGTTTTTTACAGATGCAGGACTTCCCTCTCTCATATTCAGACGTAGTCCCCTAATCGCGGGCGACCTTGATCGTTCGCCGGGAAGGCGGAGACCTCGTCGGACAACATCGGATGGTCCAACATACCCGTGGCGGTGGGTTGTCGGAGTTGTATTGGATGGGAGCCGACTTATCTTCTTTGGTGGAGGAGCTACTAACCTTCTAGGTGGTGGCCGGATACCTCCGTCCTTCTCCTCGAATATCTCGCCAGTGAACTTCTCCGGCCGTTTCCTGAGAACCTTTTTGGGTGGTGGAGACGTAATGATTTTCTGTGTAATTTCCCCATCATCTTCGATTTCATCTACATCTCTTTCGGTATCTGTCATCGCCGCCTTGGACGTGGTGGCAGCAGATAAGCTCTCATTGTAACTACACATCTCCGACATCTCAGTAACATTTTCTTGGTTTGATTTCTTGCCGGCGTCATTTTCATGAAGAATCTGTGTGGTGGTTTGGATTATTGGTATTGATATTGAGATGGGAGTTTCGGAGAGGACTTCTTTGACTGACTCTTTTTCAAATGGTGGCGACGGAGTAGCATGAGTAGCCCGTTCTTCGATTCTACTTTTGGAATCATCCAGACGGCGGTGGGTTGTTTTATTGGTGGTTGCGCGGGAGGTGGTCAAACAACAACCCATTTGGGTCTGTTTTAGTGTGTGTATGTGTGTGCAGTGGAGGGCTTTTGAGAGGGATAAAACTTAAAAGCGATGCGTGTAAGAAATATGTCTGCATTTCTTTTGCTTGTTCAACCATGCTTGCTTACCAACCGGATTCAGTTACAGAAACAAAATCTCTTTTAAATATGAGAATTTTATGTTATATTCTAGTCCTTTGGTTTGTCAAAGATTGCATAGTATGCCCTATATTTCGGATGGTACTTATGATTTTAATTTTCTATTTGGTTGCTCTATAGTTTGTTTTAGGGAAAATGATTTATAAACTCAACGAAGTTCCAAACCGTTAAAAAAACATTGATTATGTTTTGTATACTCAAGAAAACCCAACGAAATTAACCTTTTTTGTTAGGTTTAGGTCATTTTTAGTCACTTAACTTTTGGTTTTGTGCTCATTTGGTCACTTAACTCTTTTTAAGTTTTAAAAATTTATAAAACTTTTGGTTTTGTGCTCATTTAGTCACTTAACTTTTGGTTTGGTCACATTTAGTCACCTAACTTTTAAAATTATGCACATTTGGTCACTAAACTTTTAAATTTTTTTCAAAAGTTTAGTGATTAAATTAGCACAATTTTAAAAGTTAGGTGACTAAATGAGCATAAATTTAAAAGTTAAGTGATCAAAACAAAACTTAAGTGACTAAATTAGCACAAAGTCAAAAGTTTGATGATCTTTTAAAACTTAAAAATAATTAAGTGACCAAATGAGCACAAAATCAAAAGTTAAGTGACCAAAAATAACCTAACCATTTTTTATTAAAAAACCCCAACTAACTTATACGTTTGTTCTATTCTCATTAGGGTCAAATATCTTCTTGGTAGATCTTAAGTTGGATATCAATAATTGAGAGGAAAAAGAAGTAGTCATTACAAGTGATCGAACATAGACGTTGTTTGTTTTTTTTTCTTCTTCAAGCCCAAAGCCGATAAATAAAAGGCAATTCTAATATGTTTAATCCATGTTATTAAACATAATGTCATGTTATTTGCCAACTAATTGTATACCTAATGAATCTGGTTGCATATAATGAGAATTGAACAATAGCATATAAAACATGATTGGAGTTTTTTTGAACGGTTTCAAAACTTCGTTGGTTTTACTAGTCATTTTTCCATATTTAATTTCACGTCATAAGCCATATCATTCTTTGATTTTTATTAGTCAGTTGACCCTGATTAGAGTTGAACAAAAGTACAAGTTAGTTGGGCTTTTTTGACAAAAAAATTATAGTTTATACTTAAAAAGTTAAATTTAATTTCAGTATTGATGTCTTAATCAACATTGAATTAAATTAAGAGGCCATATAGAATTTTAAGAGGCAGAAAATTGGATTAACGTGATAGCTCATTTTATTTCCTTATTTTTATTAGTTTATTTTAGTATTTTTAGCTCTTTTTATTAGTATTGCATTGTATATTCTTTATTTTCTTTATCATGGATCGTGTCGGGTACTTTCTATTTTGTATGAGAAATTTTGTAGAGTTTTGGAGCTAATTGTGGTTGCGGTTTGACTGAAGTTGGGCTTAGTGGGCTTTTCGATGCATTATTAGGCTTAGCGGATCCACCAAATGAGATTTGGGCTTAAAAAGGCTAAAGGCTTGGATGAAGTGGGCTTGTGAATATGGGTCATGGATTATTACTTTAGGCTTGGAGAATCCATATTTGAAGCTAAAAGATGATTGGTTAATTTGAATCATGTGGGATATAGAGGGGACCAAGGGAATCTTCGGTAGTGGAATGTGTAGTGGAGGAAAAATTAGTCAATAGCATTCCAGCAATATCAGCGCGGGTGGATTCTCACATGTGCAAGTATCCGTGCAACTACCCAGTTTTGGGCATTTTGGTCATTTTGTTTACCATTTATCTGGGGGGGGGGGGGGGGGGGGGGAGGGGTGTTGGATCTTTCAGCATCATTTCGATTATACACCATTAGAGACCAGAGGAGATGATTTTTGGAGCTTGGATACACATTCTTCTTATCTTCCAAAGTAATTGTTAGCTTCTTGATGCAATTAGATTTGTGTGATTGTTATTCTATTGTCATGAGTGGCTAATTTTTCTATTTTTGCGTTAACTTTGGCTAAAACCTTTGAATGATTGTGGTTTTTTTAAGGATTTATGCTTATTTATCATTTATCTTATATCTATAATTCTAGTTTATATTTCATATGCTTGTTTAATGCTTTGATCATGAGCTTGATACTTTAATAAGCAATTGTTGGTTTATTTCTTTGGTTTAGCTTTGAATCATTGAATTTACTTAGAACAAGGGCTTTATGATGGAAGAATCATCTCTAACTTATGAATCATCATAACTCCTTTATGGATGTGTAAGCATTGACATCCTCTAGGAATTGGAGATTCCTTTATTCTTAAGGCTAATCAACTTCTTGAGTTCAATTGCTTCAATTGGATCTTTGATTTTGATTAAGAATGTGTGTTGTCGGCTTCCCAGCCTCCATACAACTTATGAGGAATCTAGGCATATCATGCTTCATGATTGCTATAACCAATTTGGGATGAATGATAAGCTTCATATTGAATCCTAATGATAAACACACAAATGTTCATTGTGTTGAATTGCCTTGGTTAACCAATTCTCTCAAATATTTGAGCGTCTTACCATCTTGCTTAAGTGCAAGTTTTTTAGTTATTCAAGTATTTTAGTTTTCAAGCAATCACAACACCACCCCCCCCCCCCCTCTTTAGTTTAATTGTAGTTAGTTAGTTTATTTACACTAGTTCTATTAGATTGCATTGGTGATTGAATGTAACCATTTCCCCGATGACCAATACCTCTTTTTACGATTATATTACGTTTTATTTGTAAACAAATGTTGTAATTTGCTTGGTGGACTTGACATCCCACCAAGTTTTGGCACCGTTGCCGAGGAAATTGGTTATTGTTATTTGATTGTTTATGCCTAGGTCTATAAGAACCGGTGAACTACTCTACAATTCGGAGATTGAAAAACAAGCAAAAAGATTGAAAAAGTTAGCCAAACAAGCAAAGCAACAACTCATTCAAGCTTCTTCCTCTTCTCCACTAATCAACATAGAAGATCAAGTTCATACTTCAAGTGATACCAACATCGAGCCTAGTTCTCCAATTGTTGGTCATTCCTTTAAAGACATTCTGTTTGAAAACTACATAGCTATGAATCATACTCCACCTCACATTCCCAACCCAAACCCAAACAATCAACATGCCAATATCCCACCCCAACAACCAAGACAACAACACCACCAAGAACCTCTCATAGATATGCCACCTTGGAATCAACCCCCTCCTCACCCAAATCAACCAAATTATCAACAACCTCTACCACAAAACTAAAACTTCCATCAAAACAACCAACCTCAAAACAATGCATTTCAAGTTCAACAAAAACAAACACATCAACCAAATCAACCTCATTACCCACAACCTCTAATGTACCAACAACCAATGTACCCCCAACAACAACCTCCCTACAACCAATACCCTAACTACCAACCTTATCCACCACAAATTTACAATCATCAACAATACCCATACACACCTTACTAACAACCACCTAACTACATGCAACCATATCCTAATAACCCTAATCCTCCTCAAGAGTTGACACTTAGACAAATGATGGAGACAGATGTCACTCACACACCTCTTGGTATTGTTTATCCTGCAAACCGCCGAGGGATTGAATTAAAGTCAAGTTTCATACATCAACTCACCAAGTTCCATGTTTTGGATATAGAAGATCCTCAAATGCATTTGAAGTCCTTTCATATGATATGTGTTAGCATGTTACCCGAACATGTGACATTGGATGATTTCAGGTTAACCACCTTCCCTCTCACCTTGGAAGATAAAGTTAGAGAGTGGTTATTCAACTTACCACCAGGATCTATTCACACATGGGAAGAGTTACTTAAAGCCTTCAATAGCAAGTTCTATCCCACTTCCGGATATCAAGTCAAAGAAGTGACATTTTGGGGATTCGTCAAGGGGAGAATGAGACTTTTCATGATTTTTGGGAGCGATTCAACAACTTGTGTACAAGTTGTCCTCGACACAACATAACCAAACAACTACTTCTTCAACAATTTTATGAGGGTATGAATGAAAAAGATCTAAGGATGATTGACACTTCAAATGGTGGTGACATCTTCAACAAGACACCTCACGAGATAAGATCACTTTTTGGAACCATTTCTCAAAATCAAAGGAACTTTGGGACTCGAAATGAAATGAAGAGAATTTATCCACAAGTAGTTGGTGAAGTTAGCAACACCCAAAACTTGGAATCAAAGCTCTTGGATTTGACTAATGTGTTAAGTCAAATGGTGGTGGGAAGTGGTTAACAACTAATGGTGTGTGGTATTTGTGCAAAGACAGAGAATTATAAGGATAAGTGGCCCTCACTTGGTAGTGAATCGGAGGATGTTAATGCAATAGGAGGATATCAAGGTCAACCAAGACCCATGGAGTTTCAAAACACTTACAACCCAAATTTGAGGAACAACCCAACCAACCCATACCCACCAAAGCAAAACCCACCACATGTTATGATGAGACCCCAATTTTCTCAATACCCATCATAAAAACCTTTATATCCCCAAACATCTCATCCCACTCCAAATTATCAACAACCTCCACAACAAGGCCAATCAAGTGGTAACCATCAAATGAGCCTTCAAGAACTTGTCACTTCTCTTGCTCAAAGCCAAACCCAATTTCAACAAGAGACCATGACCATTTTCTCCAACATCCAAGCACAAATTGGAGACTTGTCCACCGCTCTCAACAAGATGGAACAAAGGGGTAAACTTCCTTCTCAAACCGAGAAGAACCCCAATGTGAGTGCAATAACCTTGAGAAGTGGGATAACACTTGAAGCAACCCTAAAAGACTTTCAATAGAAGAAGAGGATGAAGTTATTATTGTTGAACCTCCAAAAGTTGTAGCTACTCCAAAGGA